CATTTTAATATTTAAAAATATTATAATTTAATTAATTAAAAAAAATTTTACTTTCTTTTACTCCTTTCAATTTAAATATATTATCCAGTAATAATATGTCAATATCTTTTTTATATAAGTGATATACAAATAAATATTAAATTTATCAAAAAAAATAGATTAATTTATCTAATCATTAAATTTAAGACTTATTCACTTAAACAAAAATTTAATAAAAAAATCTAAAACAAGTTCCAGTTTGCCGTCAAAAGACATGGACTCACGAGATTATTGCCCATGATGGTTTGACGGCACGAAAACGCTGCTTGAAGCAAATATTTCAGACGGACTATGATAGCGATTCTTTCCTACTTCTATTACCATTTTCTCGTGGGGCAGTGCTAGGTGCGCTCGCTTTCTGCACTCTCCGGCCGACACTTCCCCATTCATTGGGCCACGTAAGCTTCTTTAAAGCTTTCAGGCCAACCTCTCGCAAACCAAAATAACGTGGCCCAATAAAAGAGAAAGTGTTGGCCGGAGAGTGCAGGAGGCGAGTGCCCCTAGCATTGCTCTTTCTCGTGAATTCAGAGCGGTTACACCGTACTCCCAATTTTTTTTTTTTTATTTGGGTAAATATACTTCCTGGTTTGTTGATGATGAAATTTTAATGTAAATAATTAGTGAGAAATCTTTTATTTTATGAAATAATTACCGGAAATTAACTTATTTACACACCAACTAGATTTGATTTGAATTTGAAATTATTTTAATCATAATTTAGTAATTTATGTTTAAGATACGTTTTAGGTGGTTACGAGATAAAATTCAAAAATTGAAATAAGTGAAAATGAAATAAAAAATGAGAGGTATTTTTTATTATTAGGGGTGCATTTGAAATTATAGTTAAGAATTATTTTTTATGAGTAAAATTATAATGATTTTAAATATATATATATATATTTAACAATTTTTTAAATTATTTTTTTTCAAAAGTTATAAAAGACCTTAGACTTGACAAATAGGTGGATTGGGTGGATACGAATTGGGTTATTTCAAGTATTAGGTTATTTCAAGTATTAGGTTAAATGAGGAAGTCTATAATTCGCCCACATGGATTTCGGATTGAGTCAGATAGACCCAACTTCTAAAAAATTAAAATTTTCTATATTTTATTTCTATTTTTATTTAACAAAGTCTAATATTAATTAACTATTTAATTAGAAAACTTTATTAAACGTTAATTTTTATTTCATAATTCAATTTTCATTCCAATCTCAAGAAAAGAAAGTGAAAAGATTACTAATTATATATGTGGAACTAAAACATATGTCAAATATATAATATTTATACAATATTTAGAATTTATAATTTCATAAAGGTACTAACTTTTATTAAAAAAAGAGACATGAAAGATTAAAATTTAAAACACAAATTCAATATATATGTTAATATTTAGTATTTATTCAATATTTATAAGGGTATTATACAAAAAATATTGTTCTATTCAATATTTAGAAGGGTGTTATACAAAAAATAGTCATATTCAATATTAAAATTTAAAAGGTAAATTCAAAATATATCTAAACAAATACAAGAAAAAATTAGATCGGGATTGATTTTTATTAATTAGGAAGAAATTATTAATTAAAAAAATTAATAATTTAGAACAAATTAACAACTAAAAACAAACCTTGATGTTCTTGTCATTGTGTTTCTAATGGTGATAAGAGTACCTCAACCATTAGTTTTTTATTTTCAATAAGTATTCTTACTTTTTTTCTTTTTTTAAAAAAAGATCTTTTTGACAATACTATATGTCATAACTTACTATATGCCACTTAATTTGATTTTTGACACAAGTGCCACCAAAAAGAATGATTAAAGAACTTGAGATGAAGAAGGGGAAAGCAAGAGTAGAGAAGTGGAAAAGTTGAGAGAAAGTGAAACTTATAGGAGATTAGGGTTTAGGTATTTTATTTATTTCTATTTTTAGGATTAGAAAATTAGAATTTTAAAATTAATTTTGAAATAATATAATAAAAAACAAATAAAAAAGTTCAGGTCATTTTTGGTGACCCGACCCACTCGTGACCCAACCCATTTGAATTCAGATAATTTCAGTTTGGATCATTTCAGATTTCAGATTAACACATAAGACCTATCACTTGATCCATAATGGATGGGTTGGATTAGATTTTCAGATTGTGTCCAATTTTGCGAGGTCTAGACCTATTTAATATAGTAGTTAAAATTCAATGAATAATGGATAGTGGATAGTAGATAGCAGATAACGAATAATGCTAGCAAATAGCAGGTAACGATTAGTGGATAGCAGAAAGTAAGTAACAAATAATAAATAACAGATTCGATTAATATAACTATTTAATTATATAATAATAAGCAATTGTTGTTTAAAAGTAAATGAATGATAAGAATATATTTAAAGATAATTAAGTGTATTTTTTTATATTTTTTATTATTAAAATTATTAATTTTATAAAAATA